TATTAGAACCGGTAAGTATCTCTTTTGCATTTTATTAAATGAAGATGATGATGATGCAGTCCCACTTAGTTTGATATGCCCCTTCTCGCTTGTGTGCTTCCTATTCATTAAAACATTGCATTTCACCGTAAACAATCAGGATGAGGAATTGAGGATCTACCATTTTCTCCAAATATAGTTTTGCTAGGAAAATTTAATTTAATTAATTTATCCGGTGCGAAAGAGAAATAGAATAAAATATATAGCAATTACTAGTTGTTTAAGAAATGGAACAAATGAAGTAAAAAATGATGATCATGTGTTGCTGTCAGAAATGCGGGAAATAGGCAAGTGAATGCGATACATGCATGTACATGAGGCTGCGCCTGAGTTTTTCATTCCAAGACGTTACTACCACAATCTGTTAACCTCCTCCAATGGCGCCGCTTCCATCTGCCCATTTCCAGAAAATTGATATTGATTGATATACCCTACACTATAACTTATGCATCTATATATGAATTATGATGTAACCCGGCCTCTGTGTCGTCGGTGCCATACATACTTTGATGTTCCCATTCTATGTATCGCGTGACCCATGCAAACATTTTGGCCCTTCACACTTAGATGGTATATAATAGGACTAGCTAAGAATTGAAAAAGGGACGACCAATTACGGTGTTTTATGTTAATAGGTTTCCGTATATTTGTATTCTTTTTTAACCGTATGCATCGATCCTTACTGTCTTCCTCCAGGACGGGGTGGTTCCAGGTTGCTTGATATGAATATGAATATTGTGCTGTGCTCCATCCCTTATATTTTTTATGGGATGGGGATACTAATAATAAAATTAACAAGAATTGTTAGTAATCAACAGTGTCGGTGGAACTGAATCCATTCTTGCATAGTCTAAGCTAGGCAACACCATTGGAGTATAGTATGAAGCTTCTTAATCCTTCCATATTGAGTTGAAACTAGATTTTCACTAAAATTGGTGATGAGAGTGTTTCAGAAGGAAGTGATGCAAAGAGTGCAACCCAAGTTAGGTAAAAGATAAAGAAAACATCTGGCTCCATCCTTTAAAATTTTTTTAATATTCCAACTTATGAGAGAGAGAGAGAGAGGTGCAAAGAGTGCAGCTCAAGTTGGTTAAAAGAAGAGGAGAGTGAAAGGGGGCCGGATGGGAGGTGAGCCCCATCATTTGGGCCATGAGGCACTAACCAAAACAACCTTCTGTTGTGCCGTCACTTTATTAAATATGTAAAATTAATTTATGAGCAGTACTAGTGTTGCCAAGGGCGGTTGCTTCCACACTGCAGAGATTGGTTAGTGCCTCATGGCCCACCCCACAGTCCCACTCTTTGCATGCATTAATGGAGTGTAGAGGTGGAGGAAGTAACTTGAAGGGCTGTAAATTCTTACTTCACATTTGCCGCAGATTGTGCTTAATTTTGCTCTATTCTGTTCGTCTCCAGGAAAGTAGAAAACTTTTGGGAGAATGACTGAGAGTTTAGTTGTACTAAAATAAATGCAAGACGCACTGAACCTGAACGACGAGTGAATGTTCATTATATATTTTATTCTTGGTAATACTTGTGTGCAATGGACGAGACAGGTAAAATCCAAAAAAGTGAAATATCAAATTCCACCAACAAACAGAAAACTCTTCTACACCTAACATGAATGCCCTACTCGCTGCTGAGTTGGTAAACTTTCCATTAAATATAATCTATTAATCCTTAATTAGATCACCAAAATTTCTTCTTTGTTTCAGAACCGAGACTGCCTTGACTCAACCCCACCTTCACCTTGTATTGGCGTGAGTTACTTCTGATACTAACCCAATGCCCAATAATTCCTTAACCAAATCCCTAATAATAAATACATGACTTATCCAATAATGTGATTGGTGCCGAGCTCCATTTTATTTTATTTTATTTCTTCTGATAATAATAAAAATGACTGTAGATGGTACCAACGGTGATTTAAAATTTTGTCATTTCTCGCGTTAAAACCAAGCAGAAATTCCGGTCCGTACTGCTAATTGCAGAGTTACAAAAAATAAGAGTACAAATGCTGTACACTAGCTATTTTTCTAATAAAATAAATAATAAACCCAGAAACTGAAAGTGATACTGATAGAGTAGGAGTTACAAATAAGATTCCCAATTTTACGAGCAAATGGCTACAATGAGTGCGGAGCATTGGGATTTTGTAGGGTGCTGTGTTTCCTATCAATTTCAGGGACTATATGTTATGTCGTCCTCAGTAACTTGTGCTGCAACCTGCAACTGCAAGCTTTCAGTATGCCCTGCCATCTGCCATCTGCCACCCGCAATAAGTTTCTGTTTCATAGTTTCGGTGCTGTGTTCCTGACCCTGACCCTGAGCTCCACCAGCAGTCGATGATTCCATGGAAAGACAAGTATTACTATAATAAAGCTACGTGATAGAACTCGAAATCGAAATCGAAATCGAAATTTACAGCCAGCCAGCCAGAATTTGTAGAAATTAATTCCATTGTCAGGTTAAGAATCTACATCTTGGTAAACACATTGGGTTGTATATTATCAAGGCAATTCTTTTACTTAAAAAAAAAAAATCGCATCAGAAAAATAAAATCATATTGATAATTGTTTACTTGTTTTGAAAAAACGCTGGCGAATGCCCCCCTTAAAAGTTCGTTTGGAAGCCAATAAGGTAATAATAATGAAATGACTCATGTTTGGTTTTTAATTGGGAAAATCGAGACCGTGTGGTCCATCGTCTGACTGACGTACATTTTGTGTTGTGGCAAACCTTTCTGTCATTTTTTTTTTTTAGATTATAGTTTTGGGTAATGATTTTTTTCTAGGATTTTCTATAAAATTTTAAAGATGTTTTCATCACCAGTAAAAAGAATAATTTGTTGAAAATTGGAGGATTTAATCATTTAAACCAGTATGTGTATGGGATAAAGTAAACAAAAAAAAAAATGATATGGATTGAAATAGTGTGAAATGACATAAAATTTATGCAAAGAACCCAATGCCTTTTGATTTTTTTCTTTTTCACTTTTTTTTTTTTTTATGCACAGCTCAGGTGGACTTTCCAAAAGGCCGGCCATCCATTGTAACACCTCTCTCTCTTTCTCTCTCTCTCAAACAGGTTTAACTACTTTAAAATTTGATGTAATATAGTGCTGGTATGATTGCACACCAAATATCCTTGGAATTAGTTTAGTGGTTGTGACACCTCATATCTAACATGGGAGGTAATGGTCTAATGGATTGAATGTTGTGGGATAATCAATAATGTGCTACTGCCACTACCAACTTTATGAAAAGCCATTATGTGGAAAACCTGATCGAAGGGCCCATCTGCTAAAACTTTCACATATATTGGCCGGATACACGGCCGATTTCCACCCATAGATCACCCAGCCTTAGGGTGTCCATAAAAAACAGAAAAACCAAAAAACTGAATCGAATTAAGAAAACCGAACCGTAAAATATGGTTAATTGAACCGATCGATTTGCTTTCGGTTTGGAATTTTTGAAAAACTGAATGATCAGTTCGATCGATTTTCAGTTGATCTACAAAAAAAAATTGACGGTTAACTGAACTGACCGGTATATATTTTTATGTATATTTTTAATATATGTCAGATATTTTCTATGTATTATATATAAACATATATTCATTATATATATATATATATATACTTATATTATATTTATAATGATCTATTTATAAAAATATTATATATTTTTCAAATATTTATAATATATTATATATCATTTATTATTTATTATTTATTATATAATATTATACATATATTTGTATAATATATATTATAAATATAAAAAATCCGAAAAACCGAACCGGTCAAAAACCGAAATCAATGAACTGGTTAACTGGTGGTATCGATTCGGTTTCAATTTGGAGAATTAGAAAAGCCGATACCACCAATTCGATTTACAAAAAAGTGTCATAATTCGATTAACCGAGCCGTGAAACCCAGCCCCACACCTCCATTCTGCTTCTTCAATACTAATCTCTATTATCCCTTCTATGAAGGGTGCATACATATTAAATATGCCAATGCCAATGCCGCTTCCAAAGTAGAAACAAGGAGTTCTTGGCTTTAAATCAAAGTCCATAGATTTTTTATGAAATTATTACAAAGCTCATGGGAATGTTATATATGCTGCCTATCTCAGTCCTTTCTTTTTAAAAGCTTTGAGCCAGGAGCTATAAAAAATAATATGACCCAACACCCAATTGTAAAGAGCATAAATACAAATCATGTAGATTGCAAAATCTTGTATATATTGTATATTGTTTTGAAAGTATTTATACCGTATACAATTGTATTTATATTCCTTCCAAATAGAGTACTCTTAAGGATATTAGCGATCGTATTTATATTTCATTTGGTTCATACATACAATCAGCATTTTAAAAGACATTTTCATTTTATTATTAATTACAGAACACGATAATCATTATATCAAAATTCCCTTATTTTTGAATATTCTAAGTCGAAATGTTAAACGGGAGTAAAGATGTGATCACAAATAAATACCATAACTCGTGTTGAGGGCAGTTTTGTCTCATTGATTTCAGAATTCAGACATTGAAAGTTGAAACCGAAAACCGAGACCATCTTTTTAAACCAGGAACCAGGAATGGAGGAAATCTGCGAGAAGGGAATAAATAAAAATAAATTATAGAAAAATAAATCAAAATAAAGCAATGAGGCCGCGTGGGACCCTTTCTTGCTTTCAGTCATCGGAGAGAGAGTGAGAGAGTGAGAGAGTGAGTAGAGAGAGGGGGGAGACTAGAGAGGGAGGGTGATTTTAAAAAATAAAAATAAAAAGAAAAAGAAAAAGAAATAAAGGAAAGGTAATGAGGACTTCAACATCACGACAGGGAAAGGATCGTAAAAGACAGCTAGCAATGAATCAGGAGGCTTACCTAACAGAAGTAGTCACCGTATCCTTCTCTTCTCCTCATGTTCTTCCCCCCCCCCCCCCCCCTTATTAGGGTTTATTTCTCTCCTCTCTTACTCTTTCAAACTACTTTCGTCTTTCTTTCTTTCTCTTTCGCTCGCTGTTCCTTTACTCATTCTATGAGCTTTGTTTGAGTTCTCGTCGAACATTAGGGTTAGGAGTAGGATTTAGCTTTTGTTCTTGTACTTGTGTTTTGGTCCTTGCTTGATTCCCAGAGGTTTCATTGCGATTTTTCTGTAGTTGTCGCGGATACATTGCTTTATGTTGTTTCCTTGAGTTTTTCGCGGGAATTAGGATTTACATACAGGTTTGTGTTTGTTTTCTCTCTTCTCCGGGAAATCGTTTACTATATACATCTGTTTCTGTTCAGTGTTTCTCACTCTTCCGCCTTTGGATTTGAAAGAATTTCATCTCTTTTGTTCCCTTGGTGAAGAGTTGCATGCATTTTCTGCTGATATATTGGAGATTATTAAGGATTTTATGGTGCTCTGTTTCTCATTTTCTACTTCTGCTCATTTGATTTTGCAGGAATTGACTGAAGTCTCTACCATTCGCTGTCGAGTTTGTCATTTCCCTCTTTAATTCCACCAGAATTACTTAGTTAACTTTGCCACCCGCTCAACTTCTTTCTCGTTGGAATTCATCTTCTAGATCAGGACTTCTGAGTCTATCATACAAGCCTTCTAGAATTCCCAATGAGACCAGAAAGCGAATCCAATTTTTGAGCTAGTGCTTGACAAATTGCAGTCTAAACGTCTGCATTTCATTCCATTAGTGTGACAAACAAGCACTGTTACTCCAATTCAAACAAGCGAGAAACAGAGCCTGCAGGAATACCAGCAGATAGTCCATTTGATATTGAGGTTTGTTCCACTGAACTCTTACATCTTTTTCTTTTTATCTTCATTGAACTTTTCCTTGTTGGTCTCTTCAAATCCGTTACTCATTTCCTCAAATCAATGTGAATTATATTGAATATTGCGAAAAGTTAATGAGTCTGCGTTTAATGAGCACATTCTTTGTTACTTTTTTTACTTTTCAATTTGAACTTTCTTTTTTCTCACAAAAAAAATGCAACTTGTTCCTAAAATTTCTTCCACCAGTAATTCAACATTTTGCCATTTTTCTTGAAAGAATTTGAATTTTCTTACTTTGAAGGCCGAAATTACATTGGATTTGGTACCCTGTACTCCGGAGTGAGTGGTAATTTAGACGGTGAAAGTCTAATACGGACCTACAACATTGTCAATTACGATGGGAGGTCTGTCCCGGTCAGCCATTCCCATGGCTCCAGTTCTGTGATCATCACCGGTATAGGATTGGATGGTTAGGATCATTGCAGTGGATCCTTTGATTGTTTTTCTCTGGTCCACCTCAAGTGTTCTGTCTCACTCTCACTACTTCCCCTCCCACTAAAATGCGCTGTATACGTGGCCTACCGGCTCATTGATCAACCACCATCGTTGATAATGTGGGCTTTCTTCCCAGCGAGGCCATTAATGCATACTTCATCAAGTTTCACACTTGCTGCTGGCGTTTTGGGCCTTCTGGGTCACACGGATTGGACGTGATCATTGCTTAGTTGGGCCACGCCAGATACTTGTTCTCATCTTGCCTCAATCTACTAAACGCTCTTGAAGGAAATATATGTGGGCACATGGTTCGGATTTCGGACACGATCCCGCATTTGGTGGTTCCAGCTAATAGAGGTGGTGCAGGGGTAGAATTCAATTCGAATATTCAATAATGGTGTGATGATGATTTCCAGCCATTTTCCACCCTGTTGATATATTGGAATCCTGGGCTTCTAGCTGCAGTAAGATGGGATTGCCAATTTGTCATCGACATTCATCCATCCAAATTTGCCCCTAAATCTCTTTCTCTCTTTAGAGTCCACCTATGTTTCATGTGACACGTTACCAGATGTTGTAGGCGGGTTTTCTCAGTAGTTAAGCAAAAGGTATCGTGTTTCTTAGTTTATCTTTTTTCTCCGTTTTCCTTTTTTACTTTTTCTTTTCTTCTTTCCCCACCTTAACCTACCGGTGGGTGGGGCTTGAGATGGGAATGGAGTGCTTGCAGGGTGAGAGGTGGTGGGGTTGTGGGTGTTAGGAAATCAGCGCCTTACCTGTTGGTTAAATTTCGCTACAGAATACCAGAAATATATATTATTTGGAAAAAAAAAATATTGTTTTTGTAGAGCAATTGAAAATTATTTTAAGTGAGGCAGAGTCTTCATTGAATTATGTACAAAGTTGGGTCCCGCTTCTTATACCGATCCAGCGGCAGCGGAAGCTGTGTCACGTTAAAGAAGCTTGAGTCTTTTTTTTCCTGAAGAAACAATTCTTTCCAGTTCGAGATGTTGATCGGAATATGAAGCAAAAATGAGACGTTGATATTTGGGTGGGTGCTCTTCAACGCAGTAGATCTTCTTTTCATGTGGAACCTTAACCTTCGGTTGGAATTACCCGCGTAATCCGAGCACGCTATACTTTTTTTAAGCCCCTCTTTTGGTAAGGACGCGAACGTTATTGGGAAAGGAAAGAGTTGCCGGTTTTTGGGTTCATGCGTAGAAGAAAAAAGTAAATAGGAGCTAGCTAATTAAAGAAGAAAATCGTGATCTGTAAGATAACACCCCGCAAATATCCTTTTTTAAGGTAATGTAATTTGGTCAGTATAGAAATTCTTTTGGTAATCAACCAAAGAATAATATACCAACAAATAACCAAAAAACCTTAACAAGGTCAGTATAGAATAGAACTTCTATATATGTTCCCCATTTCTCTTACTTAATAAGTTCTATCAATCATCCACGTAGTAACAATAACATTAGAAGGTAGTTTTTTTTTTTTTTTTTTACTGCATTAAGATAGAAAATGAGAAAAAGCAAAAGGATAGCCCTATAGATAACATTGGTCTTATTGTGCTTTAGTGAAAGAGAAGATGATAGGACCAGCGGATGATTTGTTGGATATATGCGGAGATTTCTTCGACCAGATAGATGATCTGCTGGATTTTCCAACCGGAGAAATGGAAGGTGAAGTAATTGGAGGAGACTGCAATGCTTTCTGGACTGCCCCACCACCTGACACTTTGATGGGAGGACCAAACGCTGTTTTCTCCGGTAATAACGACAGCAGCAGATCAGAACTTGCTAATGAACTCTCTGTTCCGGTGAGTTGCCCCCGCCCCTTTTTTATTGGTTAGTCGCGTTACTGTTAATAAAATAATAAAAAACAACAGCTTTTCTAGTAAAATATCAAGGAGTTTCTATCTTGTTTTGTTTGTTCAGCACGTCTTCCATCGAATTCGTGATGAATGCCTTCTCTTCTTTGATCGGTTAATATTTGAGAATATATGTAACGTATACCGTAGGCTTTTTAAATATGCATGGGCCACTGATCCATTTGATTGGCACCCATAAGAAATACAAAAAAAAAGCCCATGGGCCTCATTATCTTGTACGTAATCCTTTCAAACTCACATCTGATCTCTGCTGCTTTTGATCTGTTTTTTCCTCAGTATGAAGATATTGCCCAACTGGAATGGTTGTCAAATTTCGTCGAGGACTCGTTCTCTGCCGGCAGCAGTATCACCATTGACAAAGATTCCTCCACCAATGATCAAAATTCTTACCAGTTCCAGACTTCCAGTCCTGTCTCAGTTCTTGAAAGCAGCAGCTCCAGTTCTGGCAGCGGAGGAAGGACCATGCCTCTCAGTCCCGAAACTATCGTCCCTGGCCGCGCCCGCAGCAAGCGCCCACGCCCTGCAACTTTCAACCCACGGCCTGTTATCCCCCTCATCTCTCCCACCTCCTCGGTAACCGATCCCTCCCCATCCTTCTCGGCCTCCGAATTAGCATCCGAGTTCGAAAATCATGCGGAGTCCCGTCCATGGAAGAAGGTACCGAGATCTGAAATGTTGGGTCAGAAGAAAAAGAAGTTATCGCCTGCGCCGGGTGCAAAGGAGCAATATGCTCCAGCACAACCGGTTGCCGTGAGGAAATGTCTGCACTGCGAGATAACGAAGACCCCGCAATGGAGAGCTGGTCCTATGGGCCCTAAGACTCTATGCAATGCATGCGGGGTCCGCTATAAGTCGGGCCGTCTCTTCCCAGAGTACAGGCCCGCGGCAAGCCCAACATTTGTCGCTTCATTACATTCCAATTCCCACAAGAAAGTTCTAGAGATGAGGACCCAGGCTGGCCAGAAGGCAGAGATGGCTGCCACCGGAACTCCCATTACAGATGCGACAGAGTTAATACCAAATAGCCATTTGCTTGATTACATATGAAGGAGGAACTTGAGATAGCCTAGTTGGAGTTTCTCTGTTCTTCCCTTTTGTTTTTGGGTCTTACTGTTTCATCATTTCTTGGTTCTTTTGTTATAATTTTGTACATAGGCGGGGGAAGGGGATAGGAGCAAACAGTTGACCATATTTTAGCTAGTAATGAGAAAGGAAAAGAAGAGGAGAACCTGGGGTAATGGAGGATTAGGATTAGGAATGTTAGCTATTGAAATTTATGTTCTTTGGTTTCTTTTTCCCTTTTTCTCCAATTCTTTTTTGCAATTCATTTTTTCTTAGGAAATTCTGAAGTGGATTTTGAATTTGATGTTCTATTTCTATGGTGTGTCATGTGCAATGGTGTCAGCGTGATGCTATGGTTTTTCCAAGTCTTACTCTTACATAAGAGAACGAATGAAGCGTTGATAATAAATAATAATAATAAGTGCATACAAAGGGTTTGGCTATAATATCAAAAAGACATGATACTAAAAAAAACTTATAACCAATCAGGTGGTGTTTATCAAAATTTATGAGATGCTTTGATACCATTTTTGATAAAATGGATTAATTGAATGTGATGGATACGTAGCAGCAGATGTAAGACCAATGATAACATCTCATGCCAGGTGAGAGATTAAATGATTGTGGGCCAATCATGATAACATCTCAGCAGTTTTACTTGTAAGTTGTAATATTGGACCAATCATGATACACCAGGTTGGTTTGATACAAACGAACCCCACAGTTTGATGTCTCCTATCATGATTGGACAATTTTAATGCGACTCTAAAGTTCCTTGCGAAATGAAGAAAAAGATGTATTCATGCTAGCTGGAAAAGAAAGGTTACCTCAGAGTGTTTAACTTTCAGGTAAACTTGAGTGAAACACCAACTTGATTCACTCTGGATCTCCTCTCCATAAACTTTTCTCACATCAACACTATTCCTCATGAATGACAAGGGAGATATTCCCAACGCAACCCAATTTGTGCGTAAGACTGTAGGAGATCCAAGCTCACTTTGATTACTCTTTACGGTGAATGGGCTAACAAACCTTGCATTTAATCAAAGTGGTATGGCTTCAGTCAATGCAAATTCATGCTCACACCATTCACAGCCTCTTGCAGCCTTTCATTGGGAATATCTCTTTATAAAATAAAAAACACACAAGTATGAAAATATTCTCAATACAAGGCTATAAAGGCTGTTGGGACGGATGTTGCACTAACTGAAGCCGATCTCTAGTCAAAGGGGGTAAAATTGAATTATCCCCCTCCTCAAATAAGTTGGTTGTTATTGGAAAACATGCATGGGGTTCCTGGTTCCTACCCCCTTACACATTGTAAAATTATCCTTCAGTGTTTAATGAATTTATCAGATAAGAAAATAGCTGTTTGATTGGTTATTAATTTGTATAGGTAACATATCTGTTCTTAAGGCTCAGTTTGGAAAGAGTATAAATACAAATATGTAGAGTGTAAAACCTTGCATTTTGTATGTATTTGCATTGTACATATTTGTATTTATACTCTTTCCAAACCAAGCCTACGTAAAAAGTACAAATACATGGTTTAGAAATGGTTTTACAATCTACATATTTATATTTTACTCTTCCCAAACTGAGCCTAAGGGTGAAAATTATTAAAATAATTTAATTTAAGATAATGTTTAATATATCAATATGATACGTTTTAATTGGAGCTTGGATAAATGCTTAAACAAGGGTACATTCCCAATACGTTTTAATTGGAGCTTGGATAAATGCTTAGACAAGGGTACATTCCCAATATAGAATTTTGAAAAATTTACATTACATGGATGGGCTATTGGAATGGGCCTAGACAAATTTTAACAAATTCTCAATCCCAAGCCTAGTCAAGTTAGATCGGGCTCGGGAGTGACTAGGTCTCGATTTTGGGCCTCTACTGGTCTTAAAATGGATCAACCTGCCCGAGATACATCCATCCTAGTCTTCACTCTTATGTATCAAATCACATATCACATGGGGTGGGAGTGTGTTTCTAATATTTTTCTCCACATGGCACTTCTCCTGCAGCAATAGGTCAAAGGTGTAAAGCACATGCGGAGTGATGAGCAGTGTTTGCGCATTCCGATGGGCTTAAGTTTTGGGTCTCAAAGAGTCCAAACTTATAATTGATTCAGTTATTCTAGTTAGTCAGTTAAATCATATAGGTCTTAAGGGAAGATCGATGGAGATGTTCCCAATGACACGGTTTCAAGTGATGTGACATGTGAGGTGGGTGTTAGGAGTAAATCCAGATTCAAGGAAATGCTGCAACTATGATGTTGAACTTGAATTCCTCATTACCTTTCCTTTATTCCATCTCCGCATTTTGTTGATTCCTCCTACAAACGTACTTTTTCCATTGGAGGCTTCTTAAGCTCTATGGGAGCATTTGGTTGAGTATCACTCATTACCTTCGACTTTGAGTGCTTGTTCCACATCACTTCTTGCGTTTTTGTGTCATTTCTGACTATTTTCCGCTGCTTGATCTTCTTGCACACCTTCTAACCCAAACATAACAGCTCTAGCATTGAACACCGTGAAAAAAGATGAACACTTAATTCATACTAACCCAAACATATTTCGTTCCTTGAGCTGTGTTTGGTTGCAAACTTGCAATGTAAATAAATTTGCATTGATGCAAAACTATGGCAGTGCAAATGGATTGATTGTAAATTATGACCTAATTTTGTTTCAAATTTTAGTTTATTTTGTTTGATTGCAGTAAAAATGAAGTAAATTAAGATATGAAGTAGAATAAGGTAAAATTCAAAACAAAATTAAACAGTAATTTGCATTCTCATGCATTTGTACCAGTACAAATAAAATTGCATTGCAACTAAACACAGCCTTGATTGCAGTACAATTTTATTTACAACTAGTACTAATGCATAAGAGTGCAAATGAAAAAAATGCAATTTCTCATTTAATTTTGTTTTTGGGTTTTACTTTATTCTGCTTCATATCTTAATTTACTTCATTTGTACTACAATCAAACAACATAAGCTAAAATTTGAAACAAAATAGGTCATAATTTACACTCAAATCATTTGTACTACTATAATTTTGCACCAGTAAAAATTTATTTGCATTGCAATCAAACACAGCCTAACTGTCAAATGCCAATACCCCACCTTGTATTGAATTATCTACAAGTGGGACCCAGTATCATAAATAGAGGTGTCAATTGGACTGGATTTGGTCCAATCCGATTCGGTCCAATATGAATCCATTACAAATGAACCAGGTTCAATCCAATCCAATGTCTTGTTGTCTATCCAATCCGTCCAAATTGATTTTGGACTGGATGGGGTCCAATCTAAAACCCATCCATTAACACCCTTAGTCATAAAGTGGCAGGCAGGCCAATACAAGGGTGGGTCATGGGGTTGTGTGGTCCCAGTTCATTCTTATATCATATAGAATGAACAGTGCTCCCACGCACTAGCATTTGCCTATTTTAATTAGAAATGACATGAGAAATGGTCTTTTTTTTATATATAATCACATGGAAAAGATTGTAAAGTGAAATTATTTGGCAACAATGAAAGAAACATGTGGCAACCTTTTTCATCCACGAAACCTAATTGGCAGTTGCCACATGGAAAATCAGCTTCTTCACCAGAAAACCTAGACATACGTTTATGGATAAAGTATCTTCTAGTCAGATTGGTAAATAAGCCAATAAGCCAAGAAAGTTCCACATGGCAATGTAGTTAACAGGATTAATGGACTTAGATATCCTACCCACAAACTCTTTTCACAACCACCCATATGACACTATAAGCCTGCATTGGAATGACAAGGGAACATGTTCCCTGTCTTGTGGGTAAGGGATGTGGAAAAAGTTTGTGCAAGCAAAAAGAATATTTTTCCCCTGACAACCTCTTTTTCACCATAGAAAAAAAAAAAAGAAAAACAAATACCTTAGATAATCCGTTGAGGAGTTGATAGAATAGCTCTATTCCCCTCCAAGCTTTTGTAGCTAGGTCTGTCTCATTATAACGCCTCTTTACATGGAATATTTTACAACTAGCAAAATGCTTTTGTAGATCCATACTACATCTCTATACATCTTTTGCACCCAGTTATATGTACTAGTAATAATATATATCCATGAAATCTACAATGACTAAAGCATCAAAAAAAAAAAAAAAAAAATCTTGAAAACCCAAAATAAGTGCCTCCCATTCAGCATCCAAGGCTTGTTTTACTAGGATTTTCAGACCTGCTGTTGCAACTACTTTGTTACTCCCTGGCATTAAAACATACAAACCAGTTGCCCGATTCAATGAGGACATGAATGAATCATTAGTCTATAAGTAGAACCGAGTTTCTTCTATTTGTGGAATACTCTGCATTTTCCTTGTGATATTTTCATGCAATATCACATTGCTTGCACCCCATATTAGTCTTGGTGCAATCACAATTCTTTGAAAGAAAACATTTTCTACACTTTTGACAAAGTACAAGGAAGATTTTTGTACCAGTTATGAATGTATATATATGCATTGAGTTTGCAAGGAAACTTTGTACATGGAATGTCACCTGTAATCCAGCCCAAACTACCCTTGCGAAAGGGCGAGAGAAAAATAAATGATGGGTTGTTTCAGTAGCTTCATTGCAATGCAGGATTCTTAATTCCTCTTTCTTCCTTTAGAAACTTTAATTTATCTCAAGTGAGGCAAACTTCCACAAAAATATTCACAATTGTGCTTGAAGGGAAAACTGAAGAGTAAGTAGAAGCTATTTATCCCATGATCCATCTGAAGTCTGAACAAAACAAAATTTTTTACCTTTGTTATAGTGGAGTTGTGAGTAGTAGAATCTGACCTTTGTGGATATCCTCCATAAAAATGATCCTAAAATAAAATAATTTGACTTCCATCTTCGGTTTTGCCAAATGAAGTCAAATTTTAGAAATTTTTCTATTTTAACCATTTGCCTCCAGTAAGGTGAGCGTCCAGAGTTTAGAGTTTGATTAAAAAGGGATCAATGTCTTAGGTGTTTCGCTTTTACTACTTGATCCCATAATCTATTTGGCTCATTTAAGAGCCTCCAAACCTATTTTGCAAATAAGGCTTGATTCATTTGAAATAATCTACTAAAACCCAATCCCCCCTTTTTCTTAGTGCGGCATAGCTTTTCCCTGCTAAGGGCATGTATAGCTTTCTTCTTACTGCTCCCTTTCCACCAGAAAACCTTTTGTACTTTTTCCATCCGAGCTGTGAT